AAGAGAGGAGTTTCAGAGCAAGATCCCCCTATGCAGCAAGATACCATCCAAGAAGTTCATCCAATTGCTCCGATGGTGGAAGATACGATGTTAGCTGGTTTGGTAGACGAAGAATTCGAGAACCTTTGGGAAGATTCTGGAGAAGAAGATGATGATTCACACGAATTGTCCTCTGAATCCGAATAAAGTTTGTGATGAGGTAGCTGAGTGGAGTAGTATGAATCTATGGTCTTTTGACTAAGTCTTTGTTTCTCTTTAACTTTGAGTTCACAAATAACAGAGAGGAGTACTAATTCCTATGTTATATGATCACTCCCACGTTTCCCTTTCTATGTGTTCCATTTCGTTTGTGTTTTCCAGTTTGTAACAAAAATATCAAAAAGACGTTTGTTCTTAGATTATGTCTTAGTCTCATCTGAAAACAGAGTAATAAGAAGAACGTAGTTCAAGAAGAAATCTGATTTAATTTATAGTTGTTTTAATAGCATTCTCTAGATTGCATAGATAATTGATTTGAGCCCATTAAGTATAAAATAAACGTGGCCCATATTGATATAATACCATGATTTATGAACCTCACAATAACGACATATCTTTGAAAGATATCGCTAATATGTCACTAATTACCAAAATTGGTGGCGTTTCATATTCTTATTATCATTAATGTATTGCTAATTAGCCTTGAATTAATAACACTTTAATACCCTAAACCCCAAATCTTTACCCTAAAATCTCAAATTTTAAGCAAACAATCCAATTTCTAATGTTTATGAAGTAACTAAATGATTATAAGTCTTGGACTTGGTTCATAATCTAATATACTAGTATGTTAATATAAGAATCTCTCAAATTCCAACATTATAGAAAAAAATAGTAGTAACTAGTAGTGCAACACTTTGTGTAGTGTGTGTTATCCATACCATATCATCATCAAAATTGGAATATTAACCGTTTTGCACAATATGATAACTATTTTTAATATACATGCATGGACATGTTATATGATAATTAAATTTTAAAACTCGAATCAAAATAATTTGAGGGACTAGTCACGACTTATTACCAACAAAAGAGTAATAATCGTCACAAACGTCTCGCCAAATAAGAAGTTGTCGTCACGATGTCATAAGGTAACAACAGATTAACTATGACTCTTAATTTTCACTTCCCGCGGAAATATATTTTCACTTTCCACTTCTAAAATTTCACCAAAAAACTTGAAAATTAAAAAAGACCCTAAAGCCTAAACAAAACCCAACCCATATATTAGTTAACAAGAGCAAATCTCTTTCTTTCTAACTCCTTTATTCCTCCGATAAGATATTTTTTCTTTCGCCAAAAACCCTAACTTATCACAATCCACAACATACGAAGCTCGCTGAGTTAGTTGCCGGAGACGACAATCTTTCATCGACAAAGAAGGAGAACGCTTAGCCTCTAAAACTCATTTATGGCTCATATACATAAGGGGAACAAATCATATGACTATTTTGTGGCTTTTCTATGTCTCTGTTTGTTGTGTGATTTGCGATGATTTTTTTTTACATTTCATCAATTTTTGTTTGGGTTTAATCCATTTTTTGCTTGTTCTAGAAATTGTATTGTTGATTATACATTATTCTTCTAATTTTTCAAAAACCAGAACATGTAAGATTAGTTTAGTACTTTTTTTAGATATACATGGCTTCTCAAAAGAACAAGAACACTGTCAGTGATTACATGTCCCAACGAAAAGGTGGAGCACCATCTAGAGTGTCTGAAATGGGTGCTCGGTTTATAATTCCGACTACAGGTCGTGCCCAACCACCAATTCCAGCCCCACGTACGGCAGAGTCGGCACCATCTGGTATGGGTACTCTTTTTATATCTCCGACAGCAGGTCATGTCCAGATACCAATCGCAGCCCCTCGTACTCGAGTTAGTTATACATGGGATTCATCACCATTATCTTCCTCAGAGACTCTCTCAGTGAATGCAGAAGATGATGAGGATAGAGTTCCAGAGACAGAGTCATGGATGACTCTTGAGGATCTGCTTCTGAGCCCGGGTCGGCAGAACATGTTAAAACTGGTGCCTCCGTCGGACAATGCACAAGCTGAAAGTGATGCATGGTAATTATAATACTTTTTAAGTCCTAATGTATTTATATACGTTTTAGTTTCTTTCTATTCCATAACTATGATAACATGTAATTCGTAGGTTCAGCTTAAATCATACGGTTACGGGGCAGATTAGGGAGATCATGGAGGCTGATTTCGGAGGATTGTATTACAACATGACTAACACCCCACTCGAAGTGCAAAGGCGTTGGTTTAAGTCATTTGCAGTGAGTTTTTAAATTTTAAGTTTATACTGTATATTGTTATCTTTAAAAATAATCGTTTAAATATTTTGTAGCAACGTTTTAATTGGGATATCATTCACACTGAGATTATTCGAAAAAAGTTCAAGACGCAAGCGGGAACGCAACTATGTGGTTTAGTTTCTGATTGGAAAAGAGGTATGAAGAAACCTAAGTTTATGGGAAATACTCTCTGGGGAAAATTCCTTTATCATTATCGGAGTGAAGACCACAAAGCTACGAGTGATAGGAATTCTAAGGCGAGGAAGTGCAATACATCTCTCCAATGCACATGGAAAAAGTCTTTTATTCGACGTCGTCATGAGATGGTAAATTATTTTCGGCTTTAAAAATTGTTAACTATGCAAATTGTTAACAAACAATTATAATTTATGTTTTAGCGGGATGAAAACGGTGAGTTTCCTTCACACGTCGAGCTCCTTGAAGACACACACAAGAGAAAGTTGAATGGTGTTGTCATTGATCCAATGACGGTTGAAATTTTAGAAAAGTGTAACAAGAAGGCTGAAGAAGTGTTATCTCAGAAGCAAGCATGTGAGGATGGATCTGGCCAAATTCAAGAACTAACTAAAGACGAGATGAATGCTCTGTTTAAAGAGGTACACCTTTTTTTCTTAATTACATAAATTATACATTTATGGATTTGTGAGTTTTCCCTCTTGATTTTGATTTCCAGTGAGTTACGTGATTTACACTAATATATTTTTTTTTTTATGGACAGACCGTACCAATTAAAAGAGGGCGTTGTTATGGTATGGGTTCAGTTTCAGAGTGTATTATGGGTTCTTTATCTTTCACTCCGAGCCCCGTGATTACAACTCTTCAGACGCATCTCCAATCAACTCAAGATGAGTTTCATGAGACAAAAAATGTGTGAAACAACAAAAATTGATTTTGAGAGGCAGATAGCAGCAATGAAGATGGAGAACGAGGCCCGGTTCAAACAATTTGAGGACCGATTCTTAAACCATTAGCATACGTTTACAACTATCAAAATCAAAACTATTCTAATTTTGTTGTCTAATACTTTCAAAGCTATTCTAATTCTGATGTTTATTACTTTCAAAACCATTTTAGTTTTGTTGTTTTATATTAGTATATTTTGAAAACCTATTTAATATTTGAATTTGTTTTTTAGAATTTGGTTTTTGACAAATTTAACAAGTCTGTTGTTTAGTTGTCTTTATTTAAGCACAACATATCATATACTATATTAACGACAAAATGAATAAATGTCTTTAAATATCTACATACATATTTGTCACTAATTCATCCTTATGTTACGGCCATTGAGCGACACATTCAATGTTGGTGATTAGCGACATTAATAATATGTCGTTAATTAGCGAGACCACAAATGAAGTTAATTTGCATTGTAAAGAACCGTGGTTACAATGTGGTAAGTTAATGACAATTGCAGTGTCGTTAATAAGCGACAAGTTACATACACAAAATAAAATATCGTAAATTTAGGACACGTTAACAACAAAACAAAAAGGCGACATACGATTATCGACACTTTATGATATGTCGTAATATCATCTTAAAACGGTATTAACGACATAATAAGTACAGATATCGACGTCCTTAATCATCTGTTTTCTTGTAGTGTTTACATGAATAACATTTCTCTTGCCCATATATGTCTCCATGATCAAATATTTTTTTTTTCCCGTTGTATTATGTATCTTAGGCTAAGAGTATTTTTTTGAGAGAGTATTTTACATTTGACATGAGAGAATGATGGGCAATTCGACTAAAATTTTTTTTTTAGGATCATTACTCGTAACTTCCCTTAACTTTTTTTTTATCTTTTCTTGTCCAATCTCAGTCATCCATGAACATTTACAAATGAACACATCTTTTCACCCGTGTAACTACACAATTGGTCATTAAATTTCCTTAGAATTTTTGTCAATATGTTACATGTACCAAACCAATCTTATCCATCTTTGGGTTGAACTGTCGATTAGTT